GACGTCCGGCCAGTAAACTGCCCTGGTCGTTGTTTTTCGATGTCCGAAGCATTAATCGTTTTGTACCAGTGCTTGAGTTCGAGCAGTTTCTTCGTGGTGATTTTTTAAACTCATCCTTGATATTTTTTGTTCCATACTGATTTATAGGAACATTTGAACTGATATCAAACATTTCTCATCGTATAACTCAGAAAAGTTGATAATATTAGAGATATTCATCGAAATTGCAGTTATCTCATGTAATTACGATGATCCGTTCAGATACTAACCACGACGCAATCGATGAGGTCGTCTATTTACAAGCGTATGCGGAAGGTTGGAGCGATGGCAAGTATGAGATTAAATTCGATAAACGAGAGTGCATCAATGGGGGTAGATTCTATGAACGAGCTGACGACGGCAAATGGTTAGCGAGTTATGCACTGACTGCATTTTAGTGAAAGTCTTCCTTGAAGTTCCACCTTGTTGCAATTAGAAGAAACTATCATTTGTGAGTAGAAACGGTCTTTAGACGCTGTTTTGGAAAGCGATCTCAATCAGAGTGGCTGAAAGCTGATAGAGTTTCATGAGTGATTTTGAATCATGTATTGAGTGCGATTTATGCATGATTCTGATATTTTTATACATTTGTCGAAATGAAAATTCTCACATTTTCAACGATATAACAATTGTTGTTTTGATGTGATTCCTGCAAATTGGGTGGTTCTTTGATGATCGAAATGGGAACAAGTGACGAGAGTGATGTGATATTTCATATGAATGCAATTTGGCGATGATAATGAATGGAGTTTTGAAGGTCCGGTTGGTTTTTCACGTATACGAACGTTCGTGCCCGTCAGTTCTCGTGTGTTTCCATTCAAGGCGATTCGAATACGTTAGCAGATCTGGTCGAACGCGATCATTCTGAAGCGATGTCGTTGTTTATCGATCGGGCTGAGGCAATTCTGCATTCATCGTTTGGCGATTCATACTATTGGGAGGCTAGAAGATCAATGCGATACGCGAAACATCTCGTTGAAATTGGTGATAAATTCAGGTTATTTGCTAGCTGATTGACTCATTTGCTACTCTTTGAATGGTCATGAAGTATTTCTACTCGTGAGTATATTAGTAAGTTTTACTTCTTGTTTTATTGTGGTGTTGAGTGGGCAATAAGAAAGAATTCATTTACTATGGGCGCAGTTTTTCCAGCCTCATCAAATTTTAGCTTTAGTGTAATGATGGTTTTTTCCTATCTGTTCGAGAAAGCAGGCAGTCAGTTCCTATCTTGTGGAGTGTTGGAATGAGCACGGATTGATTTTTCGATCTTGATTTGTTTTGTGGTATAGTGAATTTGCTTCAGGTCTGAAAAATTGAACTCGAACGATGTGTCTGATAAAACTGTTCTAGACAAAAGCTGGGTTGAAACCAAGAAGGTAAGACGATCGTTTTGACTGATTAGTCAGTTTTTCAACTGTTTCATTATTGATAAGCATAGATCAATCTTCATCGTGAAGATAGAGAACTTGTTTAAGATATGTTTTGTGGCATGCTTTTTGTATAGTTTACGAGGGATGCTTGGTGCAGATAGTTTGACTAAATTTTTGTGGACGTTAGTTGCATCGAGTGGGATTTTTGAATGAATGTG